AATAGCTACGCAATTGACACCAATTTACATAGCTTATTTCTAGTTAAGCCCTGCTATGTAGATGCACCCTTTAGAGACAGCACCCCTTGTGTACCAACCACAGAGGAGTCACCTGGGGTAGAGGCACCAAATGCCAAAATAAAGATCCCAGAACTGACCCATCTGAGGAGAGGGCAGAAGCTACACTGATTAGCAAGCATCAGGGAGGCAGGCTTTGCTATGCCTCTGGGTTCACTGCTGGTCAAAAGAAAGCATTCTTTTAGAATTAGAGATAATTGATTTTTAATTATTGTTTCATGCTTAAAAACTGTTTTCACTTTTGTTTCAGTTGATGGTTCATTTCTGTTTCTTACATAATTGTTTATAATAAAACCCTTTAAAATTTAATTAATAAGGAGTTGATACCAGTTCTTTAGCAACGGTCATACTAGTAATTTTCATAGGGTATGTCTACACTGCAATGCTATTTTGGGATTCCGGAGTATCCTGAAATAGCTATCCTGCATCTTCACAGCAAGCCGTTATTTCGGGCTCACTATTCCGACATCCCTGTAAGCCTCAAGTTAGTGATGTTTCAGAATAGTGTTTTATTTTGAAATTTGGCTCTGTGTAGATGATGCCAAATGACAAAATAAGCTATTCCAAAATAGCATCGAAATATCTTATTTCGAGTTACGGTGCAGTGTAGACACACCCTATATAGTGTTCCTGGGGCAAACTGTCCAGTAACTTAAACAGAGATTAGTTCCAAAATATGCTAGACTCCTAGATCCTTCCAGACCACACAACATTTATATCCATAAACCTGCCGTGATGGCAGAGGTGAAAGTAAGCCAGTGCAGCACACCAGTAAGAGACTGTTGGCCACAGCACACACAGGCATGAGCTCCAGGGCTTGGGCTGCATGGTCCCCAGCTAGCCACAGTGCTCGGGCAACAGGGCCCCCAGTGCCCCAGGGATCCAGCAGTCACGCAATACAGTGGCTGCACTCCCAGCCCTGAACTCCCAAACACATCCCCAACCTCATCCTGAGGCTCTCTCACACACACACACCATCCCCTACCCTGACTCCTGCACACCTACACCTGCCATAAGCCCCTTATCCCTACCTTGACTCCTGCACTCACCAGCCCTTGTCCTTGCCCTCATTGTTGGCTGCAGCTACAGCACTTTAATGCTAGCTGTGTATGGACTGGTACTGGCAGCCACTTCTCGCTGGTATGCTGTATTAGCTGTCACCTCTGCCCAAATTCAATGGGAGTTCTGAGTTGCATTATGACAGAGTGGGATATTTGGTATCAGAGTGTAGACTCCATTTTGTGTTGCTTAATGAACACATCTAAACTGGCCCATGGCATCTTCTCATATTGCACTTTAGACAGTGCCTGTTTAGGAAAGATGCTTGACGCCTCATTGAAAGATGATCCTGATGCTTGGTCTACACTACACAGTCTGGTCCATGTGGAAATGTCATCACTTAAATTTGCCTCTTGTCAACATAAGTGACTCTCTATGCCAGTTTAGTAACACCATCTTCCCTACATCTTCACTACAATTGATACAAGTCCTTCTAGTGAGGACATGCACAACCAACACAATGGACCAGATGGGCACACACAAATGCAATTTCATATCTGTGGTGGCAATATATCAACAAAATTTTGTAGTGTGGAGATATGGCCTGAGAAAGCATCAAGAGAGCAATTGATGACCACTAGCTCTATTCTCTCTCCATTCCCTGTCCTATGGAACAATGAACTTCCCACATTGGAATGCACAGGCAGGCCTGCTGACAGCAATTCCAGGCCCCAGGGCAGAACAGTCAATGGGCCCCACACTTACACAAACTATGCCTGCACAAACATGGACTGCCTGACACCTGGGCACTGCTGTGCCTGCACAAGCTGGTGCCGCACCTGCATTGACTGGTGACCAACGAGCTGCTAGCTACACTGCTGGGTGCACTCTTTCAGCATGATCAGCTCTTCCACCTGCCCACATGGTAGGGTTGCACACTGTGCAATTGTGCAACTTCAAAGACCCTTGCCCCACCCTTGCCCTTCTCCTGATGCCACATTCCTGTCTTACTCATTGTCTGAATCCCTTCCCCCGGCTCACTCTATCCCCCCTTCCCTCCATCACTTTCTTTTCCCCACCCTCATTCACTTTCATCAGGCTGGGGCAGAGGGAGGGAGTATGGGCTCTGGGAGGGAGTTTGAGTGCAGAGTATAGTCTGTAGGCTGGGACAGGGGGTTGGGTGCAGCTCCTATTGACCAAGCTGTCCAGCCAATAGGAGCTGCAGAGATGGGGTGGAAGCAACACATAGCAACTCCATCCCCAGGGGCCATGGGAATGTGCCAGCTGCTTCTGGAGTGGCATTGAGTCAGGGTAGGAAGGAAATCTGCCTGAATGTGGACAACAAGAAAAAAAATTGTTTATATGTGAAAAGTGAAATTGTTTCAATAAAATGAAATGGGAAAATAAAGTTTATTATAAATGGTGTGATAACTGCAGATGTTTCCAGATGTATTTCAGGCTACAAGTCTGATCTCTCATTAGCAACATTTTCATCTATTGGAACTCAAGTGACATTTTTTTGTCCTGCTATACTTTTCTAAACTTGGATGTTACTAAAGTATGTATACAATTTTATTGTACTTTGTATGGGAAACACACTGCATGTTATAAAGTAAAGAAATCTAAAGAAAGTCTCTGCCTTTAATGTTGACACCTCATTGTTTCTTCATAAATCTTGTGATACTTGATGTTTTTCTTAAAAACTTCAACTCGAAGAGTCATGGGATTGCACTACAGTCTCAGTTTTGGTTTGATGACTTTTTAAAAAGTAGACTTCTAAGCATTTGCAGTTGCAGAGATAAGGCTTGAATCCCTGAATCCTAAAGTCTCTGTAACTAGAAGGTAAATAAAAAGAATCCCAAATTATTTTTAAATCTCATGATTTTGGCAGCCTGACCCATGAGCTTTGAATGCTGGGATTTGGCAATACCATTAGTCATTCAAAGCATTCTGACATTTATTAAAGAAAGAACATCCTTCAAACTGGAAGCTAGAGTCGCTATTTTTTGACACCACCATAAGCCATAGGTTTATAAAACTAGGTTTTTATTTCAACCCTAAAATATTCATTACAACATTAACACTATTAACACCTCCATGGGAATATAATCATGCATCTGAGCTGGAATGTATTGAGTGCTAGTTTATCATTAACTAGCAGCAGGTTAAAAAAGAAAAATAAGAACAATTAGGTTTATGAATCCTGATGTCAGTTTTGCTGCGCATATTAAAGCCACACCCCCTGTACTAAATAGCCTTGCCAAGAGAAAAAAAACTACCAGAGCATGAAAAGCTAGAAAGAAGCTACAAAGCAGATGAAAGCCAGCATCTGGATCTGAAGAATCAAGGTCTTGCTTTTTAAAAATCTGACATTTGTGAGGCATCACATTTTGGTTGAACAACCATATCCACACCAGGAACAAAACTATTTGGTTCCTTTGAAAATGAGGGATCAAAAGCCCCCAGGGAGAAAGGACTAGTCAGGATCCTACACAGATATACAGTATAAACTGGGAGAAGTGCAAATCAGAGAGGCCTAATCAGCCTCCTTATCTGCTTCTTCTGCAGAAAGATAACAAACCTGCATCATACCAATGGGACACACATTCTCTGTATGTGCTCTGTATCTGAACACCCACTGAGAGATTGAAAAGTAAAGGTGGATTTGGAGTGCTCCAGAGGTGGGAAGTGGGTAGGAGTATGGTTTGCAGATAGGGTCTAGGTGCAGACTAGTGTTCCCTGTAAGCTGTGCACCTGCACAAATGCTCAGGGGAGATGCCAATGCTGCTCAGCTGACTTTACAGCTAGGTTTGTGTTTCTCCTGGTGGCACACAACAAACATTTATTCCACACACGGATGGAAACGATTAGAGGAAAC